ATTCACCGGCAACTGCATGGGATCCCAGCAGCAAGACCCCCGGCAGAACCCAGCCAACCTGCAAAAGTGTGAGAGAGAAAATCAAATTGTTGTCGTAAGCCTCTAAGTTGTGGGACGGTTATTATGCAGCAAGAGATGACTGGAACAGCTCCCCCACTGATCCCACTTCTAGACCGGTAACAGCAGGAAACTCCCACCGATGTGTGCATGGAGACGTGTGTACAAGGATGTGCATTAGAATGTTGTTTATAACACTGAAAAAGTGCCAAAAGACTAAGTGTTCATTGACAGGAGAGTGGAGAAATAAATTGGGGCATAAACATTGGCTGAAATACCATACAGCTGTTAAGAACAAACTAAACCCAAATGCATCATCATGGATAAATCTCAGAAACATTCTGGAAAACCCTTGCCTGGATTCTTCAAGAAAAAGTCAATGTCCTGAAAGACATATAAGACAAGGAACTACTTTAGATTAAAGGAGACTAAAGAGAAATGACAGCTAAATGCAATACATGATCACAGATTAGATCCCGGATCAAAAAAAAATCATCTAAAAAGGGCATTACTGAGAACATTTTAACGTGGGCTGTATATTAGGTAAGATTACTGTATCTATTTTATCAGTGTTCAGTTTATCACATGTGATAATGGTACATGATTATGTAGGAGAATATCTGCATCCTCAGGAGATGCGAGCTGAAGTAGCCAGTGGTTTAGAGAAATATGTGCAGGTGTGTGTAGTGTAAGAGACATGGAAATTAATAAAAGAAACCTTAACCAAATTGGGTCGGGAAGGCCTGTAGGGGGAGCTCTCAGCCCTATCACACATCATCAATTACACCAAACAAGAAAAGAGGATGCTTGCACCTTGGACAGTAAGGAGAACTACTTACTACTGAAGGAAGACTTCTCTCCTCACCAGGTAACAGCCCAGCCAATCGGAAATGCTGCAGCTCAGCCAATGAGAAGCATTGCCGCCCTGACCTGCTACATCTCCCCAGAGGAGTTTCATTCAGGACAGTCCCTCCCTACCCCCCTTTTCTCTATAAAGGCAGCTCCCCTCCTCTCTTTTCTGGATTTGCCTATGGTACGCCATAGATGCACATCCTGAATTGCAATTCTTTTGTCTACTCTCCAATAAACTCATTTTGAGATAAAATAACAGGCAAATTTGCTTTTTAAATTGACAGAGAAAGAGAAAGTAAATGTGGCAAAATGTTCACAATTGTGAGCCTAAGTGGAGGGTGTTCATTATATTATTCCTACAACTTTTCTTTAGGATTGAAAAATTCTCAGACATTGATTCGATGGATACGTACAACACGGATGAATCTCAAAAGCATTATGCTAAGTCAAATAAGCCAGGCCCGAAGGCCGCATACTGTACATGATTCCATTTAGAGAGCGTTCTGGGAAACACAAAATAATAGTGACAGAAAGCAGACCAGTGGTTGCAGGGGTTAGGGGTGGCGAGAGAGATTGGCTGCAAAGGATTACGGGGAACTTTGAGGGGTTATGAAAGTGTTCTATACCATGATTGTGGTGGTAGTTACACTTCTGTCAAAACTCATCAAATGAAACACTTAAAATTGGTGAATTTTATCATATATTAATTATTCCTTGTAGTGGGTTGAATTGTATCCCCCAAAAAATATGTCCAAGTCCTAACATCCAGTCCCTGAGAATGTGACATGATTTGGAAACAGGGTCTTTGCAGATGCAAGTTAGTTAAAGATCTCAGGATGAGATCATCCTGGTTTTAGGATGAGCCCTAAATCCTGGTGTCCTTAAATGAGAAAGGAGAGCGAGATATGGGACCCAGAGAAGACCCAGAGGGGAGGGCCGCGTGAAGATGGAGGCAGAGACTGGAGAGATGCAGCTACAAGCCGAGGAGCACCAAGGATTGCCAGCAGACACCAGAAGCCAGGAGAGAAGCATGGAATACATTTCACCCTTAGAGCCTCTAGAAGGAACCAACCCTGCCCAAACCTTGATTTTGGACTTCTGGCCTGTAGAACTATGGGACAATAAATTTCTGTTGTTTAAGCCACCTAGTTTGTGGTCATTTGTTACAGCAGCCCTAGGGAATGAATATCTACCTCAATTTAAAGCTGACTTTTGGGCCGGCCCCGTGGCTTAGCGGTTAAGTGCGCGCGCTCCACTACTGGCGGCCCGAGTTCGGATCCTGGGCATGCACCAACACACCGCTTCTCTGGCCATGCTGAGGCCGCGTCCCACATACAGCAACTAGAAGGATGTGCAGCTATGACATACAACTATCTACTGGGGCTTTGGGGAAGAAAAAAAAAGGAGGAGGATTGGCAATAGATGTTAGCTCAGAGCAGGTCTTCCTCAGCAAAAAGAGGAGGATTAGCACAGATGTTAGCTCAGGGCTGATCTCCCTCAGCAAAAAAAAAAGCTGACTTTTTTTAAGTTGGGAAAAACATGGAAACATCAGGTTAAATGGAAAAAGCAAGCTGCAGAACAATGCGTTCAGTGTGAAATATTTTATATAAAGGTTTTAAATGCTCCAAACAATAGTACTTATTGTTCATAAACTTTGCATATACTGTAAAAGCCTGGAGGCGCCTGGGTCTGGACCCACACCATTCCCACAGGGGTGTCTCTGTGGAGGGGGCAGGGAATGCCGTGGGGCATTCTGCTGCCCTCCAGATGCCCAGCATAGACTGCCCAAGGCATTGTGACATGTGTGAAGGCTTCCCCAGGGAGAAGTCCCCAGAGCCAATACTTGGAACACCAGGGGCCCACCAGGTGGTTGGGAAGGTTGGGGAGAATGTTCCAGGCTGAGTATGGGCCTGGAGGCTCCAGGAAGCTAACTTGTTTGGGGGCAGCTGGAGAGCAGGTGAGGGCTGGGTTATCATCCCTTCCCTTATCTGGACTAGTCCCAGCCTCCCTAGGGCTTCCCTGGGGCCACTCTGTCCCTCCTTGCCATCTTCCCCTGGGATCAGCAGGGAGGCTGGGGGAGAGGAGCTGGGGGCTGAGGGAGGGGCCAGGAGGCCAGGACTTAGGTCCAGCAGGGAAGCCAGAGGCCAGACTCCTGGGTCCAGAGAAGGCTGGGGGCCAGATTCAAATGTCCAAAAAGTGACTGGGGCTGGGAGCCGGGCAAGCTGGGAAGACAGGTCGGTCATGTAGCCACAGGCAAATCACTTCTCCTTTCTGAGCCCATTCCTGGCTGAGAATGGTATGACCTCACAGGTTGCTGGAGGATGGAATACATTGTAACATGCGTGGTGAGTCACCGCTTGTGGCCGTGCAGAGGATCGCCAGCACCAACTAAGGGCTGCTACTTCACCCTCATTTAATCCTCACAACCCTGTAAGCTAGGAACTGCTATCACCCCCACTTTACAGATGGGGAAACTGAGGGCTGCAGGTTAATCAGCTGAACGGCGTAAGTGTGCACAGCTGGTAAGTGGCCACACTGGGATTTGGACCAAAGCCATGCAATGCCAGTGCCACGAGCCAAGCTCCTTTGCTGTACTGTTTTATTGCTTCATTTCTCGTTTATAGATTACACCCCCTCCCAGCTCCTGGATGGACTGTGAACCTCCTTGGAGTAGGGCTTTGACCACTTCATCTCCAGATGAGCCCAGCCCCCTGCCTGGCAGAAGGGGGCTCCGGGAAGATGTGTTGAGTGTGGGCGTGATATGAGTGGGATCCAGGGTGACCCTGGCATTTGGAGGGGGTCAGGTGGCAGCACCAAGGGGAGACTGGGGTATTTCCAGCCCTCCAAAGTCCAGCAGGCTGTTCCCACAGGTGCTGCGGGAGAAAATGGTGGCCTTGGTAGGCAACACAGACCTCAGACCCCTTTGCAAAAGAATTAGCGCCCCTACTCTGTGCTGGCAGGGAACCTTGTCCCAGCCCCAGGACCCAGGAGTCCCAGCCCCTAAACCACCCCTCCAGGGAGTCCTTGCACCCATTTTCCCACAAGTCAGGAGTCCCAGCTCCCTTCTTCCTCCTATTTTCCTAGGACCTAGGCAACTGGGCCCCCAGGCACCCAAGACTCAGGAGTGCTGAGCCCCAGCCCCAGTGTGCAGGACTCCGCCAGTGCCAGCTGGCAAAAGCTGACAATGCACATCTCCGCCCAATGTCACCTTCAACGACGTCGTGTCAGTAGCTTGACAGCAGCCGTGGAGGGAGTATTTATACCTCGGGAACTGGTGAAGGCAGCAAATCTGGGCTTTCTTTCCCCCAGAGAGCCCATTGTTAAGTGTTACCAGCACGCCACTGCTCCCAGCCCTCTGTTTGTCCCTGCTCACCAGGCCAGGGGACCCTGACAGGAGACTCGTGAGAAGCCACCAGGTCATGGCTGGGGCATCACCCACATGCTCAGGCTGCACTGGGCTGGAGCCCGGAGCCAGCCCTGGACCCTCCTGATCTCCACATCAAGGGCCCCAGTCCTGACTGGAGCGTGGTGTCCAGCTCTGGGCTGCCTGGGAACCAAGAGCCCAAAATGGAGCCACACGGACTGAGATGTGGCTACGGGCAAGTCGCTTTATCTGTCCTCACCTGCAGCCCCATGTCAGCATAAGAGGCCAGACCCTAAAGTCACACTTTTGCCGTTCACATTCAACTTCTGCCCATGTGACCCCAAGCAAGTTAGATCCTCCCTGAGCCTCAGTTTCTTCATCTGTAAATTGAGGATGATAGCAGTTCCTGCTTCATTAGGAGGTCATGAAAGTAAACAAGTTATGCTATAAAACAGCTTACTTAGCAGAGTGCTTCATACAGGTTAGATTTGTTGTTATTATGATTGCTAATAATTTCCTGTCCCACAGGGCAGGTGTGAGGGGAAAGGAGCTCAGCGGTGAGGTCTGCATACAGTAGGTGCTCGATTAATGGACCCTGTCATTTGCGATGGCAGCAAGATGAGTCAGTGCCTCGGACCTGGGTAGAGGAGACTGTCCTTCGCCCCCGCCTGCCCATTCCGGCCACCAGGGGGCGCCCTGTCCCCGCCCGCGGCCCCGCCCCCTCACCTGTGCGGCCAGTGCACCTGGCGCCGCCTCCGGAAGAGGGGATCGGGGACCGCGGGGACCTCGGAGGGAGCCCGGCGTCGGCGGGTGAGAGCTAGGGGGCGCCGAGGACACGGGCCCTTCGAGCTTGGGCGGGACAGGACCGGGTGGATTCAGCGCGGGCGGCTGGGGGGCGGGGGACGCCGGCAGGAAGGCAGGCGGTGGCTGGGCTCCGGACGTCTGTGGCTGGGGTCGAGAGGCTGGGGGCCCTGATGACTGGGTCGAGATGCTAAAGGGCAGCTCCTTGAGGGGAGGGGGAAGAAGGAGAGACGCCCCGGGGTCTCCGGAGTCGGGTCGGGCCGCAGGGGCCACGTCTGGGAGACCCCCGGTCCGGCCAGAGAGTGGCCGGGCCGGGACTACGGCGACACCTGGGTCCTGAGGCTGGGACACCTGGCGAGGAAAGGAGTGGGAAGGACAGGTGTGTGTGTGTGTGTGTGTGTGTGTGTGTGTGTGTGTGTGTGTGTGTGTTTGTAGGGGGTGGGGAGACCTCAGGAGGGCTGGAGGGGGAAGCTACCAGGGAAGCCCTGTGCCTCCTCTCCCTCTGGAGCCCCTGACCTGCTGGGCCCTGGGACGCCCTAGGCCAGTGCCACCAGGCTTCCATCCCCAGGGGCGGGCCGGGAAGTAAACAGAAACCTGCGGTGTCGCGCTCAGTCGCCAGCACAACCTGTTACCTCGCCCTGCCCTGGGCCGGATACCCAGGCCCTGGGAAACTGGGGGCTGAGACCAACATTCCAGAAGGGGTGGGGGATGGGGCTGAGGGTCTGGTCACCTGAGTTCTGAGTGGTGGGGACCAAAACCCCTGGCTGCTGAGAAAACAGAACAAGGGCCAGGGCATCTGAGTCCTAAGGAGCTGGGGCCCTGGGCTTCTGTAAGAGGAGGGGCTGGATTTCTGGGGGCAAAGGGGTGAGGGCACCTAAGTTGCCAAGGCCCTGGAATCTTGGGAGGAGAAGGGACTGGACTCATCTCTGAGTCCTGAGTCCCTAAGAACCTGGGTTCTGGGAAGAGTTTCCCAGCCGGTGGGGGGCTAGGAGCCAGAACAGCTGGGTTCTGGGAAGAGCAGGGGGCAGGGACTGTCAGTGGGTGGCCTGTGGTCCAGGAGAACTGGAGCAAGGTTACCTGGGAGCAGAGAATGTCTGCCGGAGGCAGGGGGCAGGGCAGCTCATTTCCTGCTTCTCCTTGCCTCAGTTTACCCTGGGGACATTAACGGAGCTGGGCGGCCCTGGCTGCAGGATTGGAAGGGCAGTGGGCAGGTGGAGAACTGCAGGAGGGCCAGGTCTTGGGCAGTGGGGAGCGAGCCCTGCTGGGCTGCAGAGTAGAGTGTTCTGTGGCTACCTGTCCCCACAGACCTACCTGTCCCCACAGACGCTGCAGACACCATGAGCTCCCCTGAAGGGCCGAGCTTCCCATCGGGGCTGCTCTCGGGGGGTGCCTCCCCCAGCGGCGACGAGGGCTTCTTCCCTTTTGTGCTGGAGCGACGGGACTCATTCCTGGGAGGGGGCCCAGGGCCTGAGGAGCCCGAGGACCTGGCCCTGCAGCTGCAGCAGAAGGAGAAAGACCTGCTATTGGCCGCGGAGCTCGGCAAAATGCTCCTAGAGCGCAACGAGGAGCTGCATCGGCAGTTGGAGACACTGAGCGCCCAGCACTCTGAGCGTGAGGAAGTGAGCTGCCGGCAGGGCACAGGGGTGGGCAGGTGGCAGGGGAGGAAAGCTGGGCACAGGGATGCCTCTGGAACAGTTCAGGGCTGGGCTCAGTCCCCCTGGCAGTGTTGTTCGGTGGTTGAGAACACGGGCTCTGAGGACAAATGAAGACCTGGGTTCAGACCCCTGCCTGGCTGTGTGACCCTGGGTAAGCCTCTGGCTCTCTCTGAATCTTGGGTCCAGCTCCTCCGCAGTATAGCGCACCTCAGGCAACAGTTACCGGGTGCCCCCTCCCTGCCTGGCTCTGGGCTGAGCACTTTCCATGCACCATCTTGGGCAGTTCTCACCCAACCCTGTGAAGGAGGAACAGTTCTTCTCTCTGCCCAGGCTCTGTTGTCAAACACTCTCTCACCCTGGCAGTCACGTCTGGCCCCCTAAACACCCTGGACACCACTGACCCCTGTATCCATGTTGTCAGCGGCCCCAACCACTGCCCTGTACCCGACCTGGGTAGCCTACCACGCCACACTCTCCCCACAGGGCCACCTAATGGACATCTCCACATTGGTGGCCCTCTTTTTTTTTTTTTTATTTTATTTTTTTTTTTATTTTTTTCCCCCCAAAGCCCCAGTAGATAGTTGTATGTCATAGCTGCACATCCTTCTAGTTGCTGTATGTGGGACTCGGCCTCAGGGTGGACGGAGAAGTGGTGCCTCGATGCACGCCCGGGATCAGAACCCGGGCCTCCAGCATCGCAGCGCGCGCACTTAACCACCAAGCCACAGGGCCGGCCCTGGTGGCCCTCTTGACTGTGATATCATCACCTCTGTCCCCATCCTGGTCTCTTACCTCAGGACCAGAGCCTGTGCATCTCCATGACCTCTCCTCCCACAGCCACGAGCCCTGTTGATTGTTCTTCTAGAATAGATTCTGAGTCCACCCACCTCTCATCGTCTCTGCAGCCCCCATCACCTCTGCCCCAGACACTGCAGCTGCCTCCTCAGTGGTCCCAGCTTCCACTCTCGCCTCTTGGAGCCCATTGTCCATGAGGCAGCCAGAGGATCTTCAACAGTTGCAAATCAGGGCTCGCCCGGTGGCTTAGCTGTTAAGTGCGCGCACTTCGCTGCGGCAGCCTGGGGTTCGCAGGTTCAGGTCCCGGGTGCTCACCGATGCACCGCTTGTCAAGCCATGCTGCGGCGGCGTCCTATATAAAGTAGAGGAAAATGGGCACAGATGTTAGCTCAGAGCCAATCTTCCTCACCAAAAACAGGAGGATTGGCATCGGATGTTAGCTCAGGGCTGATCTTCCTTCACAAAAAAAAAAAAAAAAAAACTTGCACATCAGATCATTTCAATTCTTGGTCAGAATTTCCCAACGGCTACCCCTCACACTTTGAAACTGAAACTCCTCACAAGGGCTGAAAAGTCCTTGCGTGTGGACCTCCGTGACCTCATCTCAGCTGCACTCACTTCCTCCCCCGGCACATCTTTTCAGTTTCTTGAGTAACCCAAGTTTGTCCCTTCAGGGCCTTTGCATCTGCCGTTTCTTGCATGCAGCCCTCTTCCTTCTTGCCCTGCAGGAGTCAATTCAGACATCACTTCCTCCCGAAGGATCCCTCACCCCACCCCTCTCCTCTTCATCACTTCCCAGGGCTTCTCTACAGCCCTTACTGTCCCTCTGAAACTGCCTGGTTCAAGCATGTGTCCACCTGTCTATGACCCTCTGACTCTAAGCTGCTTTGGGGCAGGGGACTTGGTGGTGTCACTTCCTGCGGACAGCCAGACCCCAGAACAGGAGGAGCTCAGGAAATGATGAATGGATAGACAGACGGATGGACAGGAGATGTTAAGGGACTTGTCTGATCACAAAGCAGCAGCAGAGCTGGACACCAGCCAGGACGATCAGACCCTGAACCTGCAGGCTTAATCCTAGAGCTGTGTTGCCCCACACTATTGGGATGAGAGCTTGGCTGCCTGGGTTGGAATCCCTGGTTCACTAACACACTGTGTGTCCTTGGGCAAGGCATTTAACTTCTCTGAGCCTCAGTTTCCTCATCTGTAAAATGAGGACCTTAACGATTATAACTCTAGTGGATTAGATGAAATAATACAGGTAAGCGCTAACACAGGCCCTGGCGGGAGTACCTGCTAATAATTGCAGCAGCTATGGTGAGCATCACCTTCCTGCTTTGGGAGTCCATAGAAAGTGGGGGCCAGAGGCGGGCCCCCGGCTTGCCTACCTCCCCAAGCTGGGCATCTGGGTGTGCCAGGCGCGTCCCCCCGCTTGTCAGACAGGTTTTGGGGAGGGCAGGCAGAGGCATGGGGCCAGGGCGGGGCTGATCAGGGTTAATTAGAGGGAGCTGGCCGGGAGGAGCTGGGGGAGAGGGGCTGAGCAGGCTGAGCAGAGGCTGAACTCCGGAGCCCCTGGAACCCCAGTGTGTGAGGCCATGGGCCGGGGCTTAAATTCCGCCAGACTCAGGTGCCAGAAACGGTGCCTGCGACCTCGGGTTCAGAAACCGAGGCAGCTGCCAGAGGTAAGTGGGCAACAGGGAGCCCCACCCCACTCCAGCCCGGGTTCAGCCCCTCCTGTCTGGCCTGGAAACTTCTCTCTGCTGCTCTCCCTTCTCTCCGAGTCTCTGAGTCTCCGGGTCTTGCTCTCTCAGCTGCTTCCTCCCCGACTCTCTCCTCTCTCTTGCCTTCGTGCCTGTCTCAGACCCCCTCCGACTCTCTCTGGGTCTGTCTCTCCGTCTTGGTCTCTCTGTGTCTGCTCCAGTCTCATCTCTCCCTCTCTGTCCCTGACTCTCTGTCCCGGCCCCCACAGCGCCTGCAGCAGGAGAACCATGAGCTCCGCCGGGGCCTGGCAGCACGGGGAGCTGAGTGGGAGGCCAGGGCTGTGGAGCTGGAGGGGGACGTGGAGGCCCTGCGGGCCCAGCTGGGGGAGCAGCGCTCGGAGCAGCAGGACAGCGGACGCGAGCGGGCGCGGGCCCTGGGTGAACTCAGCGAGCAGAACCTCCGGCTCAGCCAGCAACTGGCCCAGGTGGGACAGCCCTCACCCTAGGTCCCTGGGCAAGGTGGGGGCAGATACCTGGGTCCCGGCGGAGGGTCAGTATGCTGGGCTTGGTGTTGAGGCTTGGGCCAGCTGAGGGTTCCACTGCCTCCCCTGCCCCCAGGCCTCACAGACTGAGCAGGAGCTTCAGAAAGAACTGGATGACCTTCGGGGGCAGTGCCAGGCTCAGGCTCTGGCTGGGGCAGAGCTGAGGACGCGACTGGAGAGTCTGCAGGGGGAGGTGAGTGCTGGCTGGGGCTGGGACCTATTGAGCCAGGAAAGCTGGGCTGGGGGCTATCTGGGCTGGCCCAGCACCTCCCCTCCAGCTCTGAGGCCTTTCCCCAGAACCAGATGCTGCAGAGCCGCCGGAAGGACCTGGAGGCCCAGATCCGAGGCCTGCGTGAGGAGATGGAGAAAGGCCAGGGCAGGCTACAGGCAACCCACGAGGAGCTGCTGCTGCTGAGGCGGGAGAGACGGGAGCACAGCCTGGAGGTGACCGCCGGGGCTGGGGCGGGCGCATACATTCAGCTGGGGCCTTGGCCGCCACCCCAGGGCCTCCTGGGAGATGAGGCCAGAGCGGGGTCACTGGGAGCCCCAGCAGCTGGGCCACAAGAGCATAGTCATTAGCCCAAGGGCAAGTGGGAGCCAGGGCAGGGTATTGGGCAGGGGTAGCATGCTCTTAGAATACATCAGAGCCCGGCAGCTGGAAGGAGGCCAGGGAGGAGGCTGAGGTCAGCACTCAGGCCAGAGATGATGGACCAGGTCTGGGGCAGTGCAGATGGAGAGAAGGGAATGAAGAGAGGCAGCATGGCCCGATGTTTGAGACCTCAGGAGTTTGTGCTTTGGGGTCAGCTCACTTGAGTTCTTATCCCAGTGTCCCTTCTTACTATTGTGGGACACCCAGCCTGGTTTCCCCATCTCGAGATGGGATGGCGGGGTACAGAGCTGTGTGAGGGTGTGAGGCACTCAGCGCAGCGCCGGCTTAGAAGGAAGGAAGGGTCAGTGCTGGATGATAGCAGCTAGTGACGGAGTTAGAAGGTAGACGGGTCGGGGAGGGGTCGGGGCTCTTCGAGGTGACCTGATGGGGTGGGGCTGGAGGGAGGGTGATCGGAGACTTTAAAGCCGGGGCGCCCGTCCGCGCCCTGCTTTATAGGCTAGGAAATCGGTGTCGGCCGAGGAGAAGTGCGCGGCCCTAGGCCGCCTAGCGATCCAAGAGCGGATCAGGCTGCGGCCGCAGGCAAGCGCCGACGCAGGGGGCTGCGTGGCTCTCCGCGGCGCGCCGGCGCCCCCTGTGGGCGGGCCGCGGGATGCGGGCGCCCTGGGCTGACCACCCACGCTTCTGTCGGTTCGTGGGTCCCTGTGCAGCTGGAGCGCGCGCGCTCCGAGGCCGGGGAGGCACTGAGCGCGCTGCGGAGGCTGCAGCGGCGGGTCTCGGAGCTGGAGGAGGAGTCGCGTCTCCAGGACGCCGACGTGTCAGGAGCCTCGCTGCAGTCGGAGCTTGCCCATAGCCTCGACGGCGACCAGGACCAGAACGCGGAGGGACGCGGTGACGCCCCGGTGAGCTCCCGGCCCACCTGCCCCCACGCATGCCGTACAGGAGGGCTGCAGACTCCGCCCTTCCTCCTTTTCCCACGAGGTTCGACACCTTACTGACCGACTGTTTCCTTTGGTGAACAGCCCACTCTGTCCCCGGAGACCCAAGAGGCGTCCAGCCACCAGCTTTCGCCCCAGGAGGAGAGCTTGGAGCCTCCCAAAAAGCGAGCATCCCTGAGCCCACGAGAGATACTGGAGAAGGAGGCCGAAGTGGCTCTGCTGCAGGATGAGGTGGGTAGGGAGGGGCATAGTGCTGGATGCAGAGCCCCTTCCAAAGACAGTTTCTCTTTCCCATCTACACCTCCGAGCCTTTGCCCACTAATCCCCCTCTTCCCGGATCGCCCTTCATCCCAACAAACTTGTAGTCCTGCTTCAAGAGCCAGCTTGCATGCCACCTCCTCCAGGAAGACTTCCTGGATCACACTTCCCCCTTAGTCTCGCCTCCCAATACTTCTCCATGAATCCGACTAGCTCCGCCCCGCCCCACCCGGCACCAGCCTCGGGGCTCAGAAGACTCGTCTCCGGTGGGCCACAGCTGTTTGGGGTTTGTGAAGCAGGCAGGGGAGGGCCGGGAGAGCTGGAGCCGGGCTGCCGGGAAGAGCAAGGGCTGGGAGACCCAGGGCTGCCCGCTTCTCTGCCCCCTCCCCTACCCGCAGATCGCGCTGCAGCGGGCAGAACTACAGTCCCTGCGGGAGGAGCTGCAAAGGCAGAAGCAGCTGCGGGCGCAAGAGGACCCGGATGAGGCCCTAAGCGGAGCCCTCTCGGACCGGGACGAGGCCGTGAACAAGTGAGCCTGCCTCTGCACCTTCCACCGCCCCGGCGGGGCTGCAGGCCCCCAGGGCACTCTGGCCCTTCTAGGCCCCCGAGTCCTCCACCGGTGTTATGGGCTATAATTAAACCCCACTCCGACCCAGGGGCCGTCTCACTTCTTTGGTTTCGGTGTTAGCGGCCCCACTCCCGCCCAGGTCCAGGAGCCCCACTGGGACCCCTGCTCGCTGAGGCCCCAGGGCCCTCGGACCCGCTCTCAGTCCCTCTCTCCTGCAGAGCCCTGGAACTGTCCCTGGAGCTCAGCCGCGTCTCTCTGGAGCGGGACTCCCTCTCCCGGGAGCTGCTTCGCACCATCCGCCAGAAGGTGGCGCTGACGCAAGAGCTGGAGGCCTGGCAGGTGAGGGGCGGGGCCGGAGGGGCGGGGCCCGGGGCGGGGCCGGCGCGCTGACCCGGGGTCCTCAGTGGCCCCGCCCTCCCTCCAGGCTCTGACCCAGCGGCAGCCCATCCCCCGCCGGGCTCCCTTCCCGGGGCGGGGCCGGCGCGCTCGTCTGGC